TCAGACATATCTGAAATCTGAAGTTATGGACATTCTAGCTCTAGGCTTGTTTCTTGCTTGACAAGTTGGCAACATCGCTGATTACATTCGAAAAGGAAAGAACTAAAAATATAGACATGAACACGCTTCTAAGAGAATTTCATAATGCCAAAGAGAGAAGGTTGTAACTATTTTAATGAATATATTCCAGCTTTTTTCTATTATAAATAAATTGTATTAGATAAACTATATTTTTATGTATGCTTAAATATTGATTCGATTGACTATTTATGTTACGTTTATTTTATGTTACATCTTTTGTTTTTTTTTAATACATAATATATATTGAATAAAATAAGTTTTTTTATATATTTTTTGCGTTTTTGAAAACAAGTCTCTCGAGACTTCATTTTTGTAAACAATAAGTGCACCCTCCAACATTTCGTTTGCACCCTTACAATTTTCGTTCTAGCTACGGCCCTGAACGTTATGCCGTGTCAATATAATATGTGTGTGCATGAACTTTTGGTTTCAATTTCAGCATAGGTACGTATTTTCACAGTAGTGGATAGCAAAACAATCCGGTACATAATGAATTCATTCGGCGGTTATTTTTTATCTAATGCGGTTTTGAGTCCTCCAAGCACTTAATGACTTGCAAATAAGCCCGGCTGGTACGCATTGTAATCTAAAAACAATCGAGCGAACCCTACTCTATCGGCATAAAAGAAGATTGATGCGTTAAAGGAACCACTTTTATGAAGTCAAAATAACATAATAACTATTTTTACCGGGATCAGACTAAGAGGTTTTAAATTTAAACAATAGCGTTGTTCCATTTCACAAATTGCTGCCTTCTGAATGGAGCTACACCTGGTTCTCTCTTATTTTATTTACTTAATTTTCTACCTATCCGTGTACGACATTTTGCCTCTTCGTTCGATCGCGTTAATTAGACAAGGACTGAAGACCGAAGAAGTTGCGGCTAATTCTATAGTTGAATTGCGGGGAGTTTATTTAGTGTGACTTGCACTAGGCCACTCAATGGCTAATTATACCATTAGCGTTATGTTCTCTCGGCTGCTACTTTTAGTGATTCTACGCATTTACCACGAGAGTCCATCACGGCCTTCGACTTCATCACATCTTGATGTGGTAATAGGCGTAACAATGACTTTATTTTTACATTATTGTGTTATTCGCATTCATAAAACAGTTTGGATGCAATGTAATTTTGTTATCTTACTGAAAGGAATATTCCCCTTCGATTAAATCCTGATTGCAGTTTGTACTAAACTAAGATTTTACGTAGGAGAAAACTAAGAAGGTTTTCCAATGCGATAGTTGCGAAAATCGACTTAGAATGATTCTTCAACGGTAGTTGTCCCACTTCTTTCACTATTTAAATCTCGATCGGTAGAAATACCGAAATGAGCCTTCCATTCTGAACGAAACGATCTCGACTAGCGTATTATCATTTTAAACGAATAGTAAACCTGCATTTTTGTCACGTGCTCGGCTTTAAACAGAACGCAACGAAGGTTCCGAAAGATCGTAGCAATCGCACTCACTTTCAGCAATACCTACGTTTCTTGTTATCGCTGGTTATCGCCAGAAATACTTTCGTCCACGTTCGCTTTGAAGCGGTACATGGGCTTAGTTTACCATGATGAATAAAATAGAAATTCTAAAGCGACCACCCGTTGCAGCGAGCAGTGGCGAATTTTTCATAAGGCGCAATAGGCTATAGATAGAGACCCAAAGGGTTAGGGGGCCCTAGGTTACGTTCGCTAGATTCATATATTTTAATTACGAAATAGTTACACATTGTAACGGGCCTATCGTTACAAAAAAAAATGGTTTATGTTAATGTTAAAACAACAGTTCATAAACAATTATTAATTTATTGAACTATAGGTATGAGGTAGTTTTTTGTTTTTTCCACAAAAGTACCTATACAAAAATACACACCCCTTTTTTTGGTTCTTTCTTATTAAAAGTTAACACGATTGATTTAAATTGAAATCTGAAGAAGAAAGTTCTATGGTACCCCCAAAATACTAATACTTCCTCTAAATACAATGCAAATATTTGCTATAACGTGTAGTTCCAAATATACTTAAATTGTTTGAATTGTTAATTGCAATTAACTTCCTCTGCTCAACTGATTTTCGTTTCAAATTATCTTTTTTAGTCGAAACTGTTTTTAATACAAGGCACATATGCCGGGTGGTGCACGGTAAGTGAGAACATAGGGATTTAACATGGGAAATTAGTTTTATGCAATTTTAAAATTGTTAAGTTAAGTTAAGAATTAAAAGGTGCATGCAAAACTGTTTTACATGTTTTATTAAGCTTTCCGTATACCCGCAAATTTAAAAAATAAATTTCAACATTTCTGCTATTAGTAGCAATTCATAAAACAACAAAACTCATGGCGTTTTAATTTTGCGGGTATACCAAAAGCTTAATAAAACATGTAAAACAGTTTTGCATGCACCTTTTAATTCTTAACTTAACTTAACAATTTTAAACTGTACAGTTTTTTCTGTAAAATGTACAGGAGGGCAGGATATTGCATAAAACTAATTTCCCATGTTAAATCCCTATGTTCCTACTTACCGTGCACCACCCGGTAGAACAGGTAAACGCGCAATTAGTCCCACAGCTCTTTCTTCACTTCTGGATTAACATAATATAGTAAAATCGCGTAATTTTTTATTTATTATCCCTCTCTTGTTCTGGGCCCTCAACAGGCTTAATTAAGACTCAAATCGGCCCTCGAGACCAAACACCCAACACACATACCAAGGCAAACCCCCACAATTAACCCTTCTCTCATGATAACGTTAAACATTCTTTAATTAACCTGCTGATGTCCTAAAATCTGCCACTGATACCAAAATTCAAATTAATTAAGCGCGCTTCCAATGACACCCGACCCAATCTAATCAGACGAAGTTTGCTGCAACTGATAAGATTAGCTACCGGTATTTATCTTCACTCAAATGGCCGGCTAAAATTTAATAAGATTGATTCTCCCTCTTTTCTTCCCTGGTAAGAGAGCTTTCGGCGGCTGTAACGATTTAAATTTTCCTACAGGAACGGCTACAAAAATGGATAAATTCACTACTCAACTTACGTTCGTTATCGGCGGTAAGACAAACAAGGAATCAAAATGAAAACACACACAAAATTCACTCCTCGTCGCTTAGAGGAAATAAGTACATTTTACAAACTACGATTTCTTAGTTACGAAGCGCCCAACTTAAAACACTTCTAGATTTTTTTAATTTATTTTTATTGTCCCTCTTGTTCTAGGCCCTCAAAAGGCTTACGCCCAATTACAGAGTGACCCGCATAATTCTTTTTAGAGATCTTAAGTTATTCTATACTACTCCGGTATTTACCCTACAACTGCAGGAAAACCTAATTCGGAGTAGCCGGCAGAATGCTCGAAACTGATCTAAGGAAATTCCCATCTCTGCCACAGATGGAAAATCCTACCACAGCCCAGGTTCAAACACCAGACCTTCGGTTTTGTAGCCCAACGCTCTACCACTGAGCTACAAACCCGATAGATATCGGGTGTTCAGCAAAGCTAGTCGACTTCGCAAATATACTGTGTGGTCATAACTTCGGGTATTTCAAGTCGGAAACTTCGTTACAGTGCGTACAAAAAAAACACAAACCCTAAACTGAATTCGTCTCAGAAACTCAATAAACTTAAAATTACACAAACTAACTGTCTTTAGTACATCGGAAAACCGAGAAGCCGAAAACACTGCTTCCACAAATTGATCCCACTCCACCCAACGGCCAAAATACGGCAGCGGAGGCAGCCCGGACTTTACACACACGGCCCATGGCTAAAAGCGAACGGCGAAAGGTCCCGTTAAAACACTTTCTCTTCCATTTAACACATTTCCCTCTCTTGTCTCATTTTCGATTTCCACTTCTTTATTCTTTAGTTAAATTACACAATATTCTCTTATCTAACGTGCGCACCTGCGACAATATTTGTTTACAAAATTAATTATCTTTTAGTGATTACCGCAACTCTTATCTACGACCGGAGAAAAACATGAGATGAACTTCAAACATTACACAAATAATTTCAAGATATTCCTTATCTTATAACTCGTAACTTCTTTACAATTTATTAAATAAACAAATTACAATGCGACTGTAAACAAAAATTAGCCATCGTCTAAAGCTAAACTACTTAAATTAGACGATAGTATATTACGCATACGAAAACGGATAACGGGCTGATTTTTGTAAAAAATTTTTGGAGTGCATCGAACTTTTTTTCAAACAACCTAAAAATTTTTTTAAGTTATTCGAAGAACCTTATTTTGATGTTTAAACCTACAGAAATTATGCTAGGTTTTATTACAAAAAAATTGAGAAAGTTAAAAAACTAAAAAAATTTGTTTCGGCAAAACGGGTATTTTGATTTCCTTAATATGTTGGCAGTGTACATTAGGCATAAAAGATGTAGGCCTATAAAAAAATCTTAACTTTTGTTTTAACTAAGGTAACTGCGGGTAATAAAGCCCGCCATAAAATGAGGCCCACCTATGATATTAAGCGAAATGATAGTTCTGGTGTAGTGCAGCGACATCTTTTATATTTGGGTAAAACCCTAGAGAAGATTTCAATATTCGCAGTTTATTTTGTAGCAGTTTTTAACCGCCAAATTTGCAAGCATTTGAATACTGTGCGATCGATGTGGTACTGTTATAGTGTTATATCTTTAATCATCGGGCGATACTTTCAAAATTAGTGATTTTTATAAATAAGTTGATAAAGGTATGTATACATAGGGTACTTGAGAATATATATTCATGCTCTTTCTAACAAATTTTGAATTGTTGTGCAAACCTAACCTGGTAACTTCAAAACCATGCGCAACAGGTAATAAGGCCCACTAAATTTCTTGTGGGCCTTATTACCTGCCTGGTGGGCCATATTACCCGATACGTTTAAAGCAATTATATTTTTTACTTTGTAGGACAATGGGGAAAAAAAATCGGGGTATGCGAGCAAACTGGGATGAAGAAATGATGGAGGAAGCCCTAAATCTCATAAAACAAGGAAAGTCGCAAAGATATGTGGAAAATCATTGCGGAATACCTCGTCGAACGTTAAGAGCGCATATTAAATCTGGCATTTCCAAAAGAAAGCTGGGCAGGCACCCTATTTTGAATTCGGAATTAGAAAGCGAATTAGAAGCTAAGATAATTCGGTTTGCGGAACGGGGTTTTCCACTTACGCCAAAAACTATTCGCAGATGTGTGTTTGCATTTGTCGATAAAAAAAAAATTCCAAACCCTTTCAGTGCCACCCATAAATTGGCCGGAAGGGAGTGGTACAGAGCCTTTCTTAAAAGAAACACAGCTATTTCCCTTCGCCGAGCCCAAAACATGAATCCCGCCAGAGCCCAAAAGCTAAACAAACCCATAGTACAGGATTACTTCAACAAATTGAATAATCTCTTGGAAAGGATTGGCGTGAAAAACAAACCAGAAAAAATCTACAACATGGATGAGAAAGGATGTCGTCTGAATCTGCACCACCAGCAACGAGTTCTTGCCCGAAAAGGAGCAAAAAGGGTTCATTTAGTAGCTCACGAACACGCAGAAAATGTCTCCATTGTAGGATGCGCCAATGCCTTGGGTCAAGTGATACCTCCCATGATTCTTTTTAAGGGCAAAAGGCTAAAACCGACATTTGAGGATGGCCTGCCAGGTGGCTCCGTGGTCCACATGACTCCAAAGGGAAGCATGATTCAAGAAGTCTTCGTCAAATGGCTAGAACATTTTGCGAAATACATGTCTGCCCCTCCAGTTGTTTTAATATTTGACGGTGCTTCCTGTCATTTGGACATTTCGATAGCAGAAAGAGCTGAGGAGTTAGGAATTCATTTGATGTGCCTCCCAAGTAACACGACGCACGAATTACAGCCGATGATGGATAAGGCTGTTTTTCGTTCCTTCGAACATCATTGGGACGAAGAGCTTTTACGATATTGGGAACACCATCCAACACGGACATTAAACAAGGAAAGATTTTCAGACATCTTCACCCCAGTATGGGGAAAGTGCATGACCATCGCCAATATAACCAACGGGTTTAGAGCAACCGGGATTTATCCCCTAAACATTGATCCAATAGCAGAGTATGCGTTTGCACCAAGTTTAGCAACATTAAGAAATATTGAGGACGAGAACAACGATAACTCAAGTCCAGAAGACGACGTGCCCCTTGCTAGTTTAAGAGACGAAACTAAAAAAGCAAACAACTCTTTTTCAGAAGTGCTGGTGACTCCTGAAGTAAAAATAAAACCTAACGCACCAATTCGGAAAAAAGCTTTAAATTACAAAGCTTTAGAGGTAACCAAAAAACTTTTCAAAGATACCACTAATGTTCAAGGTCAACCTCAACTTGCAAAAAAAACGCATGCAAAGACCTCTTCTGCAGAGCCCCAGCCATCATCTTCCAAAGGTCGCATCAACAAAGAGAATTGGTTATGTGCTGGATGCCACAAAAATTTTGTTGCTGATATGAGGCAATGTACGGAATGCAAGTTATGGTTCCATGAAGAATGTGTTGGATTAACTGAAGACGATGATGAGCCCTTTGTATGTGCGTTTTGTGAGGAGAAATAGAAGGGCTTTATTATCTGCTATGTATGGTAATATGGCCCAAGTACAGTGGTTTAAAAAAAAATTCGCAGACTGTGCTCTTTTTTCATTTAAATTACCAAAATGGAATTTTTAGTTACCTCTATAGTAGTACCTTACTTAGAAAAAAAAATTTATGTTAAAATGTGTTTCAATTTTTTAATAAAAATTAAAATAAATTAGGTGGGCCTTATTCCCCGCAGTTACCTTATAAAGCTTTTTATAAAATTAATAAATAGGGACAAAATATATTTTGATGGAATTCCAAATTCCACTAGGAATTCCAGCTTTTCGAGGTATAGTTTTCATTAATGGGTTGACATATCATTTTTTCGTAAGCAAAATGTACCTACCTATAGTAAGATGATAACATTTATACAGGATGTTTTTTGGGAGCTTTAGTTAAACGTTTCTGACGAATCGCTGTAAAATATTTTCAAACTGGTCACATTTCCCGAAATACCGGAAGTAGTTTGTACCTTAGTTACTTTAAATGGCAACCCTATTTTTTACGGAATTTTTAGATTCTACGTGTAATTTCGGTTCTTTTGATGCCTACATATCGATATTTACCATTTATGGTTTTTAAGTTATTTTGACTTTAAGAAAAAAAATTGCTGAAGCAGACGGTACCTTGATAATTGATTACGGTTGTAGTTACGGTAACTCATTTTTGACAGTGCATAGAGAAACCTATGGAGATCCAAATTTAAGAAGCTTCAAAGATTGAAAACTCATTTTTTTTTAAATGGAATGGTCATTTTCTTACAGTTGCATGAAATAGAAAATCGAAATTGGCATATTTTGATATTAAATGTTCCTATATAGCTATCTTTAACAGTTTCTGACTTATTCCCATTTTGTTGAATTGATACCATTTTTTCGGATTTTCTTTTTACTAGTTGTATAGTTGGCCATGATTTTATGACAATCGAATTTTAAACAAATCAAGGAAAGGATTCTTTAATATCATTGATTCTAATATAAATAATTCAATATAAATATAATGGTAAAGCCGAGGGTAAAACGCAACTGAAAGGTCACGGTCGGTTTTGGGTAACTCAAGTTTCTCAACGAAATCAAGTCCGTGAAAAGTTCTGTTGAGGTGACATTCATACGGTCAAAATTTGATTGATACACTCCTTCACCCTTAAATTAGCAAAAAACTTTTAAATCATGCACCGATGATGTCATCAGTGATCAGATGACGGATTAGTGTCACTAGATTTGTTTAACATTCGACTGTTATATTAAATCATGGCCGACTACTAAAAAGAAAATTCGAAAAAAATGGTATTAATTCAATATATGCCAATCATATGCAATAGTAAGAAAATGGTCATTTCATTAAAAAAAACTTTTAGTTTTTAGTCTTTGAGGTTTCTTAAATTTGGGTCACCATAGGTGGGGTCGTACGTAACTTAACTTTTGTTTAAGTCCCTACACTAAAAGAAAGCCCTATTCTTTCCCTATGCACTGCTAATAAGGTGTTACCATAACTGCAACTGTTTTCAAGAATCAATTATCAAGGTATCGTCTGTATCCGCCATTTTTTTCTTAAAGTCAAAATAACTTACAAACCCTAAATTGTTGATATCGACATGTGGGTATCAAAAGAACTGAAATTTCACGTAGAATTCAATAAAAAATAGGGATTGCTATTTAAAAGAGCGAAGTTACTAGCTACTTCCGGTGTTTCCGGGCGTGCGGCCATTTTTGAAAATTTTTTACATCGATTCGGCCTTCAGAGTACAAATTTTCAGAAACCTACCTATTTCACTTTCCTAGAAACGTTTAACTAAAGCTCCCAAAAAAAACATCCTGCATATCGCAAATAGATTTATACCCTGGTACAACTCATTTCTCTGAGCATCTAAAAATGTGTACCTATGACTGTTTGCACCGAAATTGTTTCAACATTTTCAATTTAAATAATAGCGATTATCGCCATAATGTTTGCTATAGGTATTAAAACTGTGATTAACTTTAAACCCTGTTTAAATTTGACGATGCTAACGGTTATTAATGTACTCGTAATTTACGATTAGGTAGGTACATAATTATAGACCCTCTTCGACGTACCTATTTGTATACCGCAAAAAAGAAATTAATAAACAGCGAATTTCTTGTATAGGTAGATTTGAATAAACAGTTCAATATTTACTATTTTATCGAGTGATTGTAATGCGATTACAGCTACTATACCTACCTGTAAAAAAAAGTCAGCACTCAGCTCGTAAGTAATGACGGAATTGGTTATTGCAGGTCCCATAAACTAAGCAGAATATTTTGTTTTGGGTTATCGTGAAAATGGTCCTACACCCAAGGTTTAGTGAATTTTTGAAAACAAGGATCAATTATTCTGCGTCAAATTTAAATTAGGTAGGTACCTACCTACCCATCCTATACATACAACATATAATACAAGTTATAAATACCGTCGATGAATTGTATAAACAAAATCAGATTAACGAGTATTATAGGTGTATACCTACCTGGAAAAAATTCCAGGAATCCATTTCTACTTAAGTTATTTATTTTTGGCCATTTTTTTCGACGTTATTAGCATATCAAGCCCAGATATGGTGGATACCAGTTTGAGGATCGAAACGAATTATAATATTTATCACTTTTTCGTCTCCTCCAAAGTCACCATCGGCCATTTTAAAATGATTAAGCCGACCTTTTCGTTTTTAAATTATTAATAAAGGCAAAAACCTTTCCTTCTAAAAATGGAATGGCTTTACGACTTTTCTAACCCTCAAACAATAATAATAGCAGTCCCATTAGTCCCTCGAAAGGAAAGGGTTACTTAGATAGGTATGATACATTAGCTCGATGCTTTTATGTAATTAAATATGCACGTAAAAACGTGTCGTCGTTTGCTCCTTCGTGACGGGGACCTGCATTTTTTATTCGATCTACACCTATTGGCGCGCAAGAATCACAATTAAACCGTTGCGCTGCACTTAATTAAAAAATAATAATACCAATTGAGGTATTAAAAATATCGGCAAGTTAAGTGACATGTCGCGTGCACAATGCGTAAGTCACGTGGGCTAGTTATAATGATTTCCGGTCTTCGTCCAACTTTAAATTACTACCTTTCGGTTTGCATTAAATATGTATTTTCTCATCTCACTTACGTAATTAATGCACTTTAAACAAACACTGAAATAATCGCGCTAAAATTTGTACCGGATATGTTCTAGATAAGGTAGTGTGTAGTTTTATAATGTTTGAAGTCACCTAACCATACCATACTCATCTATACTTGTTTGTCCTACCTATCTCAAATGCATTACTATTAACAGTTGTTTTTATTGCAAGTTTTAGCTTTCTATATTGGTCAAACTAGTTGGACGATAAAGTGGCGTCGCCGTTAGCTGTCTATTGGCTATATTCGATTTGCTATATACAATTTGCATTTTATTTTGAGAAGAATGACAAAAATACATGTCTTGCTAATGCCCATCTTTTCGTGATATCAAACAAGCAATTTTTTATCAAGTGCCTTTTATATTTAAAAAATGTCTTTCGTGATCCAATGTTGACTACCACATTGCGTTGAACCTCGTATACAGGGTGCCCATTATGTATGGACTATCGTATATATCTCGGTAAATATCGTATGTATACAAAATTTTTCTAAATGAAAGTTGTTTAACTTTTTATTTTCCATAATAAGGCAGCATTCAGTTTAGTTGTTTTTATTTCTGAAAACAAATGAGTAACAGGAAACAATTGAATTTTTTTAAATGACAGTGCACCTTTTAACTATGTGATTTTTGGTGAATTGCTAGTATATGATAATTGATAAGTGAGATTATACCTCACCAAAAATCAGCTAGTTACTAATTTTGTCTATTTTTTAATCTAAAATGCCTGGGCTAATGTTAGAAAGTACCCTTTTTCAAAAAAATTTATTATAATTTGATCAATAACATTAATCCAGATATCCTACATCGAAACAAAACAAATGAACGTGTACGTTTCTTATTAAACCTTGAAGACAAAACGAAATTAGCAGTAAAATGATTTTCATCGCAATGAATGTTCAAAATGTTCACAGTAACTGCAAGGCAGTGGCATAACCTATTACAAAAAGCTTGAAATAAGAATCAATTTCTTCTACACGGGTGGTAACGTATTACGTCATTGAAAAGAGAAAAAAAAATTCTATCAAATGAGCCTAATGAAAGTGTCATTGCAATTAGAAAAATTCAATTGTTTTTCGATATCCATTTGTTTTATGAAATAAAAACAATGAAATGCTGCCTTATTATGGGAAAAAAATGCTAAACGACTTTCATATAGAAAAATTTTGTATACAGTCCAATATTTACCGAGATAGGTATATACTATATATTCCATACATAATGGGCACCCTGTATATGCAGTTTAGTAAAGACTATTGTGTTTTGCTTTTGACATCAATACATCTTTACAGTTCCTCTCTCAAGATTTCCTACTCAATTTTGGAAATTGAAGTATCGATATCAAAACATCCACTATACGTGATATTATAGTTTTCAAGTAAATTTTCAATATTCACTCCTGCATGGATACCTATGTTGTGAAACTGGAATTATTTTTGTGCTTCAAGTTTGTACTGTTTTTGCCGTATACTTATCGTGGACATTTTGTACGGTTTTTTGAATTATTGGGTTATTCAACTTTGTAAAATGGGACATCATGCATGATAGTCTAAAATTAATTGATTTAATTTTGTACTCATTTCTTGCTATCTTATACATTGTTTTTCTCTTGTGGTTTTTGAATTTCACTCGTACACTCGACGTTTCAAAAATTTGAAATTTTTCGTGCCTCAATTTTATGCCCATTTTTGTACAATTTTTGCTGTTATTCTCTTATACTTTTGAGTCATCAACTTTTTAAAATAGACCTGTAACTTTACACCTGACCTCGATTACAATACCATAGCTATACATTATCAGGACTGCTATGGTGTTCGCTGTCGTCTT